GTTACTCCCATGCCCTGGTGCGTAGCGCCTGGTGCTGGTACGTTACCCTTTGAGTATTTCTTTGGGCGGGTGTGGGAAGCGTCCTCCTTTATTTTTGTTTTTGGTTTATTTTGATCGGTTTCCGAGGGCTCTTTTCTCGAACGGTCGGTGCGATACCTGTTCTAATCTTTCGATCATTTTGTTTTCTTTTTCCGAGTGGTTTCTACCCTATTTATGTTTTGTGTCCCCGCGGCGTCGTATGTGCCGGGTTGTGAGACCACGGGGTCCAAATTTTTTTGTGGACTATAGAGCTAATGTAGGAAACAACAACAACAACAACAACAACAACTCGAATAACAGGCCCCAAGGGGTCCGCAAGTCGATAGAAATCAAGTCCAGATATTATAACCGGTCGCCCCGGTGGTCTAGTGGGTTCTTCGAAGCCTTCTAGAGGTCAGGCCAGGGGTTCGAATCCCGGCATAAGCGAGCTTTTCTTGCACAGTGAGTTTCTCGCTTCCGCTCCTGGCCTAGTGGATAGCGCTAGTTCGTGTGTACACAGAGGGAAGAGAATGCTGAACTCTTCTCGCATTAAAAATCGAAGGCAAAGTACCGCAGGAGGGGAGGGTAGAGAGCTGCTCTTCTGTGTGACCACGGGTTGGACTAAACGGCGCCAGTCAGTGTTGTGAGCGCTGATTTGAAGTGAAGACGAAAAAATAAATAATATAAAAATAAAATCTGGAGTCCTCCACTCCCTCTGCGCGCTATGCGAGGAAACAACGGAGACTAGGAGTCACCATCTCAGGTAGGAGAGAAAGAGGAACACCCCCTTGTTTCAATCTCGGTACTTCACAACGCAAGCAGAGACGAGGCCATCTGGCACAGAAGAAGAGAGAAAAATAGACAAAGAAGAAAACAGAGAAAAAGAAAAAAATAAAAGGAAAGAAACAGAAAACAAAAAGGGAAACAGCGAGGACAAAAAGGGACCAGGCCGAGTATAACAAGAGACAGGAAAAGGCACACGGTGGAGAGACCACTAACGAACAAGCAAACATACTCGGGCTAACGTGATACAGTGGGGGGCCCGCTATAGTGCCGGGTAGTGTCCAGAGGGAAAAGCGGCACTATACCGGTCACCGGCAGTATTCAGAATAGTACCTCAATAGTGCCGGTTCGGCAGTATTGAGGCTTCGAATATACCTCAGTAGTGCCGGACCGACACTACTGAGGAGGCGGTGATTTCATGGTGCAGCGCTCAAGCTTTGCGGGGTCAACAGAGTACGATGTGGATCGTGGATCGAAAATGAGTGTAGCNAGACAGGAAAAGGCACACGGTGGAGAGACCACTAACGAACAAGCAAACATACTCGGGCTAACGTGATACAGTGGGGGGCCCGCTATAGTGCCGGGTAGTGTCCAGAGGGAAAAGCGGCACTATACCGGTCACCGGCAGTATTCAGAATAGTACCTCAATAGTGCCGGTTCGGCAGTATTGAGGCTTCGAATATACCTCAGTAGTGCCGGACCGACACTACTGAGGAGGCGGTGATTTCATGGTGCAGCGCTCAAGCTTTGCGGGGTCAACAGAGTACGATGTGGATCGTGGATCGAAAATGAGTGTAGCATTACTGGACGTCTAAGTCCTCGTTGCCCTCCTTCGATGTTGCCCGACAAAAAAAGACAACAGCGAGAAAGAACCACGACGACAGGAAGCGCACCACACGAAAAAATAACGACCATTACTACTGCCACAGCTGTTCTCCCCGCCCTCGCAACGTAGCAGCAACTCTCTCTCACGTGTGCCTGGCGCACCCGCTTGGATGGTGCAAGAAGAAAAACACAAAGAAAAGCACGACAGGAAGCGCACCGGAAGAAAAGGAAACAACCATTGCTACATACAACAGCTGCAATCATGTCTCTCTCTCTCTCTCATGTCTGCCTGGAGCACCCGCTTAGCGGAATGCGCTGCAATCATTGCCATCTTCGCTTTCGTTAGGAAGAACGCCGCGTCTCCGTTACCACTCTCATCTGCCGCCGCTTCTAGGACGCTGAAGTGAGGCGACAGGTCAGCATAGTACCGTATATGACACAAGATATCACACCCCCTGGACCGATTTTCAAAGCTCGATTACTCCACGACGAAGAGAATGCATAAACAAAAAGATATAGTAGCTGTCGCTAAAACGAGCGACAGCTGATAGATGTAACTGTCGTCAGACGTGTGCGTCCGCGGGAGGTGGAAGAGACCCTTTCTTCTTCTTTTTCTCTTTGCAATTCACGTCATTGGTTACCCGCGACGGCGCTGAAGACGCCCATGTCCGTGTACTTGACCCTCGTACTCTGTGCTAACTCCCCAAGTCTAACCTCTTCCTGCAGCCTAGCCTTCATCGTCGGCGAATTTCCAAGGTTACCAATCCTGTCGAAACTCATGGGCTCTACCATGAGGTCCACAAGTCTCTTCGCCCTACTGAGACAGACGAAAGTAAGCCCCGTGCAGGCCTCCTTGGGCCCCAAGTCAATGACGGCCTTGGCTAAAGTCTGCCCCTGGGACTTGTGCATCGTAATTGCCCAGCAGAGCCTAAGGGGCAGCTGCGTCCTGACCTGCGTCCCCCCGTCCTGCCAGGTGGTGTCGACGGGAGAAATAGGGACACAACGTCTATACCTCTCCTGAGACGACCATTCCCCCCCCGAGTACCCTTCAAAC